TCTTACCCTGCGAGGAAATGTCACGAAACACGACAGAATACGCTAATAAGAGTTTTATTAAGATAAAAGGGACAGAGTGCCCAGGCCTGTGGAAGACGTGTATAGAGAAGAAGAGGAGAGAGAGAAAGCCGGGAATATGTTGCCGGCTTGTAAAGGCTGAGTGTGCACAGGTCGACATAACTACTCCACGCATGTGCGTAGATCACATGGCTGCGTTGCGCGCTTACACAACCATGCAAAGTCACGGATCCTGGTCACTGGAGACGCCTTGACCCGGAAATGGCTATCTTGACCTGGAACTGGCTAGGCGGAAGTGTCCAGGTCCGCCGGGCATGTGCAAACGCCCAACCATGGGGGCGTGTTGTGAACCCATCAACCTCATTTTACCACTCACTGCCGTCCTTCCCCTGAGAGAGAGACCTTCTTCCTGTGTCCTGTCTCTTTATTGCCTTTCTGTTCTGCCTTCTCATTGGTTCTAAACCTAACCACATGACTTCCTCGTCACTGCCTGTCTGTACAGACCTCCAGGTCTCTATTGTTCGTACTGAGATTAAAGGTTCGGGTCACCGCTTGGCTGTGTCCTTGAATACACAGAGATTCTGCCTGCCATGTGATCAGATTAAGGGCGTGTGCCATCACTGCCGGACTTCTGCTAAATGGCTTGCCCTTAGCTCTGATCCCCAGGCAACTTGATTTATTAACATACAAATAAAATCACATTTCAGCACAAATAAAATATCACCCACCGTGCATTACCTTCAGATGCTCAGGCATGGGCACCTTCCCTCATGTGATCCTGTTCATCCATGCAAAGAAGTAGCTGGGCTTGTGTATCCTAGGGAAGCTGCTTACCTGCTGGCAGCATAGTTGTCATATTTATAATGTGATGTATCATAGTGTGCTGGGCTGTTACCTTATATTTTCCCAATGCATGCTGCTACAGATGCCATGACATGGTGTTCCCAACAGGGCAGGAGGCAGGCTTCATCCTCTGCCCTATTCCTAGTGTGTACCTACAGGAAATGATTGACAGTGGTGATGCAGACATGTGCTTCAAGTGTACACAAAGGTACACAAGCCTTTAGTTTCAAGGATTGCTTTCACTAGATCACTTTGGGATATGTAAATGACAATTAGTGCTTTGTATTTGCCTGTGGGTAATAAAAGTGAACATTCAGGTTAGGCACTTGTCATAGGTCACCCAGATTTCTATGCCACCTTGTTTACACACACCTCTCATCTACCTCTGGCTCCATAGGAAAGAAGCTGAAAGAGGAAAACCCAGGTCTGGTTTGTAGATAAATCGGTTCTGCATATTGAGACAGCAGTGAGGGAGCCAGAGCCATAGAACACTTGGTGGTTTGTTTTGCATGAAGGGAGAAGGATATTTAGCTAGTAGAAACTTGTTTGGGTCACTAGACAACATTCTTAAAGAGAAGAATGATCAGAGAAAAGGAATGTGCTCTGGAAGCAAAGAGGGTGGCATGGCCTAAGATCCTGGAGAAGAGAGGCCTTCTGCAGGACACAGTCTGTTACCAGCTGGGCTTTTCCTGAGGGCATTTGTAGACTCAGGATGTGCACTATGGATCAGGCCCCAGCATAATAGTTTTCAGTATGCAGGATCCCAAACACTGCTGGGTTCACACCTGCCAAAGTCCAAGACAATGTGTGGGGAAGAGTCTGAGTTTAGACTGGAGTCAGGGAGCATCTGGAACATAATCAGGTGAGCGCAGGACTGAGCTCGGCATGCCTGTTTGTTTTTCTGGAAATCACAATAGAGAAGAGCAGAGAAGACATCTGGCTCCTCAGCACTGCCCTCATTCCCTTAACCTTGCAGGTTATCAGCTGTCTCTCACAGGTGCCTCCTGTGTTGCTGCAGGCTGCTGGAATATATCATAAGAACTCAGCTGGTTATGGCAAAGTCACTACCTGGAGGGATCAAGGATTTCCTCCAGAGGAAGCCAAATTCCAAGGAGCTTTTGGTGTTATTTGGCTTGTTATATATCAGCTGTATTCTGTTATGAAAATCATGTGTGCCTTCATCGTTTTCCCAATTGATTTTTCCCTAAGAAGGGCTAACAGTGTGGACTGATCACTCTCTGGATATACACATTCCAGTTATTTGGAGAACAGCCTCAGGAAAAGCTTTCTCTGGAATCAGATATCTCCCTTAGCCACTTTCAAGGACTACAGGAAACACGGCTCAGGTGGGTGCCCAACTTCTGAGGATAACAGTCATAACAGCCCACATGCGAGTCTCCTGACTTAAATTCCACAAGGGGACACCACCTAGGTCAGGTGGACATTAAGTAATAGCTTTACACAATTTGGCTCGGACCCTCCCTTTATATACTGGAACTTCCAGGGCACAGAACTGAGAAGAGAAAAGAGTATGGAAGAACTAGATAGGTAAGAACTTGAGAGGAACAAACTGAGATGGGGAAGAACTAGACTGAAGGGCTAGAAGAGAGGACTAGAGGAACGAGATGGAAGAGGAGGAAGAGCCAGATGGGGAAGAACAAGATGAGGAAGAACAAGATGAGGAGAGAGAAGGAGATGGGAGAGGAAATGATATGGAAAAGAACAAGATGGATGAGAACCTAGAAGGGGCAGAACTAGATGAAGGAATTAAGATAGAACTTAGAGGGGACCGCAGATAAGTGTAGAGAGAAATCAGGCAAGAAAGGAGCTAGACATGAGAGCAGAATAGAAGCTGTGTAGAGAGAGAACTATCACAGAATAATAAAGTGTATGAACTAAGGAGTTTCATGTACATAGATTCATTTCTTTTCATCAAAGATTAATTATCAGCTGGTTGTATATTCTTCCCGGACCCTGGGAGGGGACTGTCAAGGGGCTGGACCCCCATAGTCCCCGATCCTGTGTGTCACTTGTCACATGGACAGATGATGATTTTATGGAAGAGGAGTATGTGTCCAGAGGACACAGCTGTCAAGTGTCTCTCCAGAATTGGAACATGGGACTCCTGTTCCCTTTCCATCAAGTATTATGAGCCCCAGGAAACCTGAGACCAGGCTGAGTAGCCTGTTGCTGTCCTTCCCAACACAGGCCTGAGACACAGGGTGGAGCCAAGTCCTTAAACAGATGGCCAGGGTCAGAGGCTGTTTGCGTTTGGTTTTGACTAAGGGTGGGACCACCCTTGTTCTCATCTTGGAAGTCTACTCTGAATGCTCTGGCCTCTGAAGAGGGGTATGGCAAGTCAGCCTCTGGCTAGGCCACACTGCTGCTGGCATAGGGCCAACAGGGCTGGGCTGAGGGAAACATCTGGGAGGGTTGGGTAAGGGCCAGTTCCTTGCTGGGCCAGAGTTTTCATGTTTGGGCACATATGGGTGGGGTACCCAGACCTTATTTTGTCTAATTCTGATTTTAAAAAATTTTCAAAGGGAGGGGGGTCGGGGGCAAACAACATAAAAAACAAAACCTAACCCTGTAAAGCCGCGGTACACCTTTACCCTCTTCATAGGTTTCTGCCTCTAAGCTTGGTAAGATTATTCTCTGTGCAGAACATTTAGCACACATTTCCTTGGAGAAACATTAGTATGTCTATTCAGGCTGAAGCCAGCACTGCCTGCTCTCCTGTGGCACGTGGTGGGGACTGAAGGTGATGGGGCTCCCCGTGGCCTCTCAGAACCCACTGCAGCTGGCTGGACTGGTGCTCCACACCTGGGTGGGGAGAAGTGGAGTGAACAAGAGGATATGAATGCTCTACAGACCCAAGGTCAGCATGGGTAGCAGATGAACCAGGGTTACGGTTATAACTAGTGCACCCAGGCTTTCTACCAAAGTCCAGGGTGCATAAGAGGCCCCATATATAGGCTCTGAGAGCTGCACTACTAAGGGTAAAAAAAAATCCAGGAAATGGGGCTGGGGTGGAGAGTGCTTGCCTGGTATGTACAAGGCCCTGGGTGTAAGCCCAGTGCTATGGTGGGTTGGACTGGGGGCAGGAAACTTAGGGGAATAATAGGAAGAAAAGAAGGAACTCGGGGAAGGGACAGAGGTGATGATGTCTAGTTGCTAGCCTCTTGAATGACTGTTCCAGGGGCTAGTGCCAGGGCCCATTAAGTAATATTTTGGAGGCCAACCTCAAGCCTACAGGAGCATCATACACTGAGAGCAGGCCAGGTTACCTTTTCCAATGTGTGTGTTTCTTCTCTCCTTTCCTCCCCTTCCTCCCCTCCCCTCCCCCTCCCCTCCTCTCCCTCCTTCTCTCCTTCCCTCCCCCCACCAAACTCAGAAATCCACCTGCCTCTTGAGTGCTGGGGTTAAAGGCATATACCACCACTGCCTGGCTCCAAACCTGTTTTTTAAGGAAGATTTGAGACACAATGGTCCATTTCATTTGTGAAATCCACTGAAGAAATTAAAAAATGACAAAATGCTAAGTGGGGCTATCTGTAGTGATATATTGTGTACCTAATAAAATTTGCCTGAAGATCAGAGAACAGAACAAGCCACTAGATTAGACATGGAAACCAGGCAGTGGTAGCATATACCTTTAATCCTAGCAGTCTCGAGGCAGAGATCCATCTGGTTCTCTGTGAGTTCAAAGTCACCCTGGACTACATGAGATTGACTCAGTCTAGGAGAGAAACAGCCAGGCAATGGTGACACACACCTTTAATCCCAGTATTTGGGAATAACAACCTTTAATCCCAGCACTTGATATCTCATGCCTTTGTTTGGGAAGCACACACACCTCTGATCCCAGCGCTAAGAAGGAAGTGATGGCTGAGTGGAGAAAGGCATGAGGAGACAGGAACTGAAGCTTTTTCAGGCTGAGGAGTCCTAAAGGTAAGACGTGGCAATGACTTATTCCTTTGTTTCTCTGATCTTTAGCATTTACTCCAGTATCTGGCTCTGGGTTTTTTTTATTATAAGACCTTTAGAAATTTGAGCAACAGCTATCTTGGGGTTTCTATTGTTGTGAAGAGATACTATGACCATGGCAACTTTTTTTTTTTTCTGTTTTGTTTTTCCAGACAGGGTTTCTCTGTATAACAGCCCCAGCTGTCATGGAATTCTCTGTAGACCAGGCTGACCTCCAATTCACAGAGATCCACCTCAGCCTCCCAAGTGCTGGGATTAAAGGCATGTGCCACCACTGCTCAGCCCATGGCAACTCTTATAAAGGAAAACATTTAATTGGGGCTGGCTTATAGTTCAGAGATTCAGTCCATTATCATCTTGGTGGGAAGCATGGTGGCATGCAGGCAGACATGCTGGAGAGGTAGCTGAAAGTTCTACATCTGGATCCAAAGGCAGCAGGAAGAGAGAGTGACACTGGGCCTGGCATGAGCATCTGAAACCTCAAAGCCCACCCCCAGTGACAGTGACACACTTCCTCCAGCAAGGCCACACCTAATAGTGCCACTCCCTATGAACCTTTGGGGGCCATTTTCATTCAAACCACCACAGGGGCTACATAAATAGTGATATATGTTTACATTTAAATGCCATTTTTGACACAAATACACAGGACAGTGTGCTATTCACAACATAGATTTTGGGGATTTTTGTTGTTTGTAAATTTTTTTGAGCTCTTCCCACTCTTCCAGAGAACCTGAGTTCAGTTCCCAGCACCTATTCCCAGGCAGCTCACAACCACCTGTAACTCCAGCTCTAAGAGAGCCAATGCCCTCTCCTGGCCTCCATGGGCACATATACAAACCCCCATACACAATATATAATTTAAAATAAAAATGACGTGTGTGTGTGTCAGAGGACAACCTAAGGGAGTTGGTCCTTGCTGTGGGATAATGATTTTGTAACTGGTTTAATAAAACGCTGATTGGCCAGTAGTCTTGCAGGAAGTATAGGCAGGATAAGCGGACAAGGAGAATTCTGGGAAGAGGAAGGCTGAGTGATGAGCTGCAAACCCGCCGTCCAGGGAGCAGCATATAATGGCACACAGGTAAAGCCATGGAACACACAGCGACATACAGATTAACAGAAATGGGCTGAGTTTAAGTACTAAGCCTGAGCTAATGGCTGAGCAGTTTTAATTAATATAAGCCTCTGTGTGATTATTTTATAAATCACCTGTGGGACTGCGGGTGAGAGATGTGTCCCAACCACGGGCCAGGAGGGACACAAAGAAACTTCTGACTACAGGTCCTCTTCTTCCACCTTTTGGGTTCTGGGAGTCATACTCAGGTCCTCAGGCTTAGAGGCAACTGCCTTTACCTGCTGAGTCTTGCTGTCCCCCAAAGATTGTAATTTTAAAACATTCTTTTGTTGAGACAGGGTCTCTGTAGTCTAGGCTGGCCTTAAACTGGTGGCAGTCTTCCTGCCTCAGCCTTCAGAGCATTGGGATTACAGGCATGAGTCACTATCCCTGGCTTTGAAACGTTCCAAGGTTGCCACACTTGCCACTGGTAGGCACAGGTTTAAAGCTGGGTGATAAATTGTCTTCCCTCAAAACAGCTGGAGTGCCTCCAACTGTTGAGATCTTTTTGTGGAGACACAGCAGGTCTAAGCCTGGGGAAGCCCCTAGCCAAGACACCCTTCCCACTATCCTAGTTCTAGAGAAAGCATTTTAACAGCACAAGTGGAGTACCTTGTGCTTGCATGGAGCTCTATGTAGTGTGTGCACACATACACCCCTTTTAAAGTCCTGCAGGCGAAATGACCAAGGATGTTGCCTGCTGCTTACTCTAACCCCCACAAGCTGACCATAAAGTTTAGAGTTCACTTGCTAGGTCAAGTAGGAGAGAGTTACTCCTTAGGGCAGGTGAAGCCCATGCTTGGAACTAATGTTAGTCCCTGAGAGGTGTGTAGAGTGCTTGCCTGGTATGTACTCTCACTCTCGTGTTCTGATCCCAGCCTCCCCATGTGGCTTATCCATGGCCACCAGTCTTTTCATATGACTTGCTATTTCCATCTGCATTGTTAGCTTCTGTCAGGCCCCTCTCTGTCCCCACAGGTGCTCAGGATCCAGGATGTGCCTCTGTCACTAAGCTACAAGTCTTTTCTCCTTTTTCCCTGATCCCCACATGGAACACCGTCCCTATTCCACCTCTGGCCTGGCCAAGCCCCTGTTGTCTTCTCTCTACCTACTCTGGCTGTTAAGTGCCCAGTGGTGCCCCACTGCAAACCCCAGGGCACAGCGTGAGTCTTTGCTGTGCATTCCCAGGACCTATTACGGCTATGAGGCACCATGGGCTCCCGATTTGCACTGGCCCGCTAAGGCTTTCCCGTGGTTTGCATGCCTGGCACGACCTCCCCAGCAAACCTAAGGCAGGGTCTTAACAGTCAGGCCCATTTTAGGAAACAGGTCTTGGACTAACACATACTTAGGTACTCCCCCATGTCTTATGTTGGCTGTATGGAATCAGGCCAAGGTGAGGAGTTGGGAAATCAAAGGATTTTTTGTTTGTTTGTTTTTTAAAAGAACTATTAACTTCCCCCTGCATTTTCTACCCACCCAGTTTTCCTGGAAGCAAGACTCCTTGTTAGGTTATGCAATCGCCAGTCCCCAGATTACCTCACTGAGGTTCCAGCTGTGAGTATGAACCCTCTCCCACTTAATAAAGTGAGGGGTGGTGCTCTTTCCATCAGTTAAGGGGCCCTGCATATGTTGTGCTTCCAGCTGGGTGCCTCACCCTTGACACCTCCGCAGGTCATTGGCTGACCATCTACGTTCCTTCTCCTGGGCCTGGACAGCATGCCCCTCCCCAGCCAGATGATCAGGGCTGGTCCAGAGAGCAGGAAAAAGCTGAGGACATGGTACTGCATTTTTTTTTTTGTCCTTTTTTTTTTCTTTTGAGACAGGAACTCGTGGCCTTTAACTCCTGAACCTTCTGCCTCAGACTCTCAAGTGCTGTGATTACAGGTGTACACAATACCTGTTTATTCCATGCAAAGAATCAAACCCAGGGCATCCTGCATGCTAGGCAAGCACTCTACCAACTGAACTACACCCCCAGCCCTGCATTTTATTTTTTAAAAGGTCAGATTCACAGAAAATTTCAACTACTCTACAAAAGACTTTGTCCCCAGAAGCCATTTTTGAATAAGTGGTCCGCCTGGGCTGCCGTGCTGTGGAAAAGTGAAAACACGCTCATACATTGTTGGAGCTGGGACAGGAACAGGAACATAGCTCTACCGTGGGTGCCTTACATCCCATCAGTTGTCAACTGTGTCCTTCAGCTTCCAAGGGTCCAGTCAAGAATTATTTGTAGCACTGAATTGTGTATTCATCTCCTGCAGCCTGATGCTGACGCTAGTGTGGTGACTTTCAAGCTACAGAACCCCCAAACACTGCTGGGTTCACACCGTAGGCGGCTCCTTCAGGCCGGCTGTACCCACTGATGGGTCCCCAGAATTCTTTAAGTACTCTTGCTTCCTGGCAGTATGACACGTTTGGATTCATTTCCTGTCCCTTGGGTGGAATGTTACAGTCTATACTTCCATGCCAAGAGGGCTCAGGCTTTGTAGAACTTGCAGCTCCAAGGCCTGTCCAGGACAGCTGGGAGGCAGATGTTCTGTTAACTACACATACAGATTTCTCTGAATGTGCTCATGTTCACAGGGGCTCACTGGTAACTGCAGGGTTGATTCCAACTTCCTCTTTCTTCATAAATCCCTTCTTGGCTCTAAGACCTCCTGGTTCCCTTCTCTGTTCTGGTCCCCTCTTTTGCTCTGTCTCTCTTATGGCTTCAGGACAGATTTTTGAGGGGGAAAAATGTGAGGAAAGGAAGGTTTATCTTGCTTTTTTTTTTTTTTTAATGAAAACAAAATCACAAAATAAGCATTCTGGACCATTAAGGCTGTTAGCCTGGTCACTGTCCCTTAGAGTAGCTTGTAGACACTCTACCCCACCAAGCCTCAGTTTCTCAACAAAATGGGAAAAGACAATTCTCTGGGCAGAGACCCACTGAGCCAATGGCAGGCCCAACCTGGCTCCTGCCTGAAATAATCACTGGACGGATTGAGCAATGACAGCTATTGGCTGTCTATTAATCCCTTGAAACGCTGACTTTCTGGGAGGCTAGCCAGGCTGCTGGGTGGTTGTCCACAGCAATGTAGCTATGGCTCCCAAGCCTTTCGCCTTTGGCAGGCTAGCTTCATTTTTTTTTTTTTTCTGTTTTGCATGTTCTCAGCCAAGTTTTCGGAGGGTTTTCAAGACAGAGGTCCTTGTGTCCACAGCCTTAAGCCGCGTAGCCCAGGCTGCAGTGACACTGCTTTCTGACCCAGGCATTGCAGCCAGAAGCAGCAGTATGGGGTTTGGGGGCACCTACCTGCTTTTCTGCCTCTTCTCCATCTTGTCCCAGGTCACTACAGAGTCACCCACCCCAAAGACCAAGAAGGCTACAAATGTCAAGAAAGGTAAGCAGGGGCAGCTCTCTCGTTGTGTTACCTTGTGCTCCTTCCCTTCATGTCTACTTTGATGAGAGTCCTCCTGGGACCTTTGGTGAAAGACTCTGGTGGCTGGAGAGTCCTCACAGCAGGGGTGGTTGTCAGAACTGCAACAGTCCCTGACTCTTAGAATGGAGAAGAACCTTATAGATTTTCTAAACAAGCATCTGCTCCCCCTCTGGTACCCATATGTTAAAGAAATTGAACCTCCATCTTGGAGATGGTCAGTTCCCACCAGGTAGCTCCAGCGTGCGTTTCCTCAACTCTGATCCCAGGAGGAGTAGAATGTACTCAAAGACTTGCAGTCAGCATTTAATAATGTAAAATATATAAAGCCCCCCCCCCCAGACAAACGCTTGGCACACAGAGGGGAAATGGGGGACAAGTGGACTCTTACTTCAATGGGGCATCAGCCTTATCACCTCAGATTGAGCTCAAAGCATCTCTGCTCTCCTCTGAAATGCTGAGGGTGAGGTCATCCTGGGATGGGTGGAGATGAAACAGCTGAATGTTATGATAATGACTGAGGTTGTCATCCCTACAGGACAGGGAGGATGGTAGGAAGAATCAGATGTGGAGACTCGGGGAGATGGTAGAGCCAAGCCAAAGGAAAGAGTGTGGAGAATCTACAGAACCTCTGTACCTAGATAGTGAAATACAAAAATCAGCCCTGGAGCATAAGGCTACAGCAAAGAACAGGCAGAACTCAGTTGGTAGGGTGCTTGCCTAGCATCTGCTAGGGACTGGGTTGATCCCCAGCATCACACAGGAACCAGAACTGTGGTACATACTAACCCCAGCACTCAGAAGTGGAGGCAGGAGGGCTACAAATTCAAGGTTATCTTCAATTATTTAGCAAATTTGAGGCCCTGTCTAAAAAAAACCTCCAAAACTCCAGGGGTTATAATTAACAGCTTCCTGTGTACTCTGTTGTGAGTGCTTGCCTAGAACGTGTGACATCCTGATTCCATCTTCAGCACTTCAAACAACAGCAGCAAAGCAAAGCTAAGCGTGGTGGCACAAGCCTTTAGTCTCAGCACTCTGGAGGTAGAGACAGGTGGATCTTTGTAAGTTCTAGGCCAGACAGGGATACACAGGGAGACCTTGTCTCAAAAACGACAAACAAAACCGAAATTCCAAAGACTAAGTTTACAATGGGAACAAAATTCAAAACAGAACGGATATTATATTGACATCACTTTGACAAAGGAATTTATCATGAGGCATATGTATATGGAGATGAGTTCCACTAACCTGAGCAATTAACATGTGTCGATAATTTAGAAAATTGGAATGGGCTGAATAAAAGTAAATAAATATCTGTTGAATGTGTATAGAACTATTCCAGAAAGAGCTACATATGTAACAGAGACTACTTCTGGAAAGAAAAACAGGGAGCAGTCTGGATTGGGAAGGAGAATTTTTGGATAGTTTCGATTTCTTTAATCAGATAAATATATAATGATTGTCTACAAATTGCTCATTTTAAAATAGGAGGACTGAATACCCTGCATGGTTCTGTCCCTGATCATTGCCAACATTGCCACCAAGGCATGTTGTATGAGGGATTTAGATCCAAAGGCAAACAGGATTTCTGAATATGGAAAACGATTGCCAGTTTCTCAAGTTTTCCTCAGTCTTATAAATCATGTCAGTTGTGGGAAAGGAGAGGATCAGAGCAGGGCGGCCTCAGTCTTCAGTAATGGCCTCACTCAAGCTCTGGTCCTAGGTGGCTCCCACGGGAGCCTGAGCTAACACCCTGGTTCAGTTTCTGACTAACTTTATCTACATGGTGCCCTGTGCTGGTGATCCATATGATTGTGCACAGCTTCTGGGAATCCAGAGGTTGAGGCAGAGGTGCAGAGTGACCCTGCTTGCTGGCTCCAACCCTGTCTACTTTGCTCTTGTTCCTCTGGGTGTTATTTTCTCTACACTTGATAAGTTATATCACTGGTTTTTGTACATGCAAGTCCATGTCTTCTTTTGTTTGTTAATTGGTTTGTTTGCTTTTGAGACAGGGTTTCTCTGTATAGTCCTGGCTGTCCTGGAACTCATTCTGTAGAGCAGGCTGGCCTTGACCAGGCTGGCCTCAAGATCTCTCTGCCTCTGGCCTCCCGAGTGCTGGAATTAAAGGCATGCACCATCACCACCTGCAAGTCTGTCTTGGCCACAATTCCTTGGCAAAGCTTCTAGTGGGTGGACAAAGGCTCTGAACTGATGAACCCAAGACTTCACATGAAATGGCCCATGGAGGGAGGGACTCCCTACTCTTTGCCTCAAGTCAAGCAGAGCTTTCCAAGGAACTCCTGAGACTTCAGAAAGACAGAGGTTCACCCACAGCTCTCAGCTAACACACACACACACACACACACACACACACACACACACACACACACACACACAGAGTATCTCTCACCTACACCTGCTGATGCACATGTCATTCACCCATACAAGCAGTCCCTATCAAGAGATGCCATGTACCATGGAGCAGATGGGAAGAGTGTGATTCTGTGGCTGCTTGGAAAAGGACTTTGGGCTAGCTGCTCTACCATCCTAGGCAGGTCATTTAAATCTGACCTCAGTTTCCTTGTTTGTGAAATGGTGAATATCCAGGATGGCACTTGCCCATGGCATAGGCTGGTTATGAGCATGGCTGATGGGGTGCACAGCAAGGCCCTACCTTCTGCAGTGGTCGCTCTGTGGGAAGTGGCTCCCCTGCTCTCCCTCAGTGCAGTTGGGTGGGCCCACACCCTGTGTTACGTCATTTCTCCTGAGTTTCCTCATTTCAGGATGCTGCTGTCCTCTCACTGTGTACATGAGAAGGTGGAGCTGTGTTGGTAAACACGTGTCTCTGTCACCCTCAACTCAGACGGGGGCTTGTTGTCTCTGCTTGGTCTCCGTTCTGGGGGAGTTGATCTCTGTGATTTTATGGCCCATAAATAGAGCTGACTGGTGGCTGTTTCCCCAACTCCTGCTGATCCTGACCCCACCATGACAAATGCAGAATAGAGGAGCCTGGAGAGGAACCAGGAATAGGCCAAAAGGGTCCACTGGAGGGTCAGGTCCTTAGGGAGGGAGCAGAGCTGGAAGGGACAGCAAGAGATCTAGGCTGGGAGAAGTAATTCCCTTTGCCTCCTGGGGTGGCAGACAGGGAAGGGAGCATCTCCTGCCTCGGGTTTTCATTGCCCCATGCCTCTCTGTCCTAGATGCGGTGAGCCCAAAGATGTTTGAGGAGCTCAAGAGCAGGCTGGACAGCCTGGCCCAGGAGGTGGCCCTGCTGAAGGAGCAGCAGGCCTTACAGACTGGTGAGTACAGTATGGCTGTGTGGAGGAACACATCCAAGAAGGGCCAGGCTGGCAATAGGCATCAGTGAAGAAGAAGTCTCAGTTTCCATCCAGTGCCAAGCTCTGTTTTCACATGCTTCCTAGGGGAAGTTACCTAACTCACATCTGTAGGACGCATCCTGTCAGGCACAGCTGGGTCTGGTCACAGCTAGAGGATGTGGAGGTGGAGTGCTTCCAAGGCCAAAGGTACTCCCAACAGGAACTACCAATGCTTAGTGGAAGTGAGAGCTTTGAATCAGGGCCAGGAATTGCAGTACAATCTAGGCCAGCCACAGGGGAACTGTACTTAATAGTCTCACAGCCCTGGGGCACATCACCCTCCCTTCCCTGCCTACTCCCCCATGTCTCCCTCCTCCCCTGTGTCCGCCCCCCTGTGGCTTTATAGATTGTCTCTGAATCACAGTAACCAGGCCAGCATCTGTTAGTCCCGATGTGAAGATATGCTAGCTGATGGGAACTGGAGAGATGGCATGGCAATTGAGAATTTGATTCCCAGCAACGTTTGTAACTCCAGTCCCAAAGGATCGAACACTTGGTGTCCTCCATGGGCACTTCACTCATGTGCATTAACTCTCTCTCTGTGTCTCTCTGTCTCTGTCTCTGTCTCTGTCTCTGTCTCTGTCTCTCTCTCTCTCTCTCTCTCTCTCTCTCTCTCTCTCTCTCACACACACACACACACACACACACACACACACTTTAAAAATAGAAATAAGGCCAGGCATGGTGCACACACCTTTAATCCCAGCACTTGGGAGTCAGAGGCAGACAGATCTCTGATTTCAAGGCCAGCCTGGTCTACAGAGTGAGTTCCAGGCCAGTCAGGATCATACAGTGAGACTCTATTTCAAAGACAAAACAAATAATATGATAAATAAAAAAAAAACAAAATCTTGGAGCTGGAGAGATGGCTCGGTCATTAAGAGACCTAGCTGCTCTTCCGGAGAACCTGGGTTCAGTCCCCAGCACCCACATGGTGACTCACAACCATCTATAATTCTAGCTCCAGGGGATCCAATGCCTTCTTCTGCCCTGAGAGCAACCCCACACAGACATGGCATACACTCACACAAACATACACATATACACATAAAAATCTTTAAAAAAATACTTTAAAAAAATAAAAGATGGGCTAACTGAGGCAGAGTAACACAGTTACCCTGCTGGGAGGCGGCAGAGCAGGACCAAGGCCTTCCAGTTCAGGCACTCTAAAGGCCAGGGGAGCCAGCCTTTGTTTCTTGCTTGAGGTAGCCCAGTCTGGCTAAGCACAGAGCTTTGGGGCCAGGCCAGTTCTCCTTCAAGTTGGTTGTCCCTCTCCATCATGGTCTTCATGCGTGTCTCTCTTCCCACTCTCCCTGTGACCTAGGCTCACTCCATGGTGTGGCGTGAGCATACCATGTGTGTGCTTGGCCCTGATCTAGGTATATGATGTACCTGAGCATGTGATGGCTGTGCTACAGAGTCTGTGGATAAACACTTCTGTGAGGACTAGTTGTTAAATCCCTCAGAGACATGGGGATGTTTCTCTTGAATATTCACTGAGTGGAATGACTAAGTGCATGGGTAGGGGCCAATATGTACCTCTGACATATGTGGCCCCAGACATACCCCATCTGCCTGATATTTAAGTTAGGAATCAAGCTAAACACAAACTGCTACACCAAGCTCACCACAAGTACCTTCCTCCTAACCTTGGGAGGCCAGTGTTCCACCGAGCACTCTAGTTCAGATGCCGTTTGGATAGCCTGTACAGTCTTTTCTGCTGCAAACACTCCTGTAGTCTCAGCTCATTCTCCCAGCCAGGGACCTGACTGGGCAGAGGTCCCCTGTGTTAATCCCCTGTGGTGAAACTTGCTGGCCCTCAGGCAGGGGTGGTAGGTCCTAAGTACCTGGACTGTGGTCTCTATTTTAAGTAGGCAGATGCCTGGAACTGTGAGTTAGTGGCTTGATCCTAGGGAGGGGCCTGGTGGTCGAGCTCGGTTTAGGGGGCGCTAGCTAGTTGGGGAAGCTGCCTTTGAGATGCAGTGGGCTGAGGCTGCATGCCTGGGGACGTGGGAAAAGAAGCAGACCCACGAGAGGATAAGCTCAGAATAAGCCTGGTGCCAACCTCTGTGGCCAGGCGACTTTTGCATTCCCTTCATCTCTGGAGTCAGTGACCCTGGCTAAGGAACCCTTTGCAGCAGAGGGGTGGCCATTCCCGGAGCAGGGCACCAAGTCCTCTTGAACAGTAATCTGGGTTCTTCAGTGTCTGACACAGCAGGATCCTGAAGTGGGCGGGAGCAAGCAGGTTTCAAGTGATGGATGGGATAGGATGGAGGCTGGGGGCTGTCTGGAAGAGGTCTATCTGTCCTGGGGCTCTGAAACTTAATGTGACAGGTATCTCTCCCTTCAGTGTGCCTGAAGGGCACCAAGGTCAACTTGAAGTGCTTCCTGGCCTTCACCCAGCCGAAGACCTTCCACGAGGCCAGCGAGGACTGCATCTCGCGTGGTGGCACGCTGGGCACGCCGCAGTCAGGACTAGAGAACGAGGCACTGTTCGAGTATGCGCGCCAGAGCGCAGGTAGCGAGGTGGAGATCTGGATGGGCCTCAACGATATGGCGTCGGAAGGCGCCTGGGTGGATATGACCGGCGGCCGCCTGGCCTACAAGAATTGGGAGACGGAGATCACCGCGCAGCCTGACGGCGGCAAAGCCGAGAACTGCGCTGCCCTGGCCGTAGCGGCCAACGGCAAGTGGTTCGACAAGCGATGCCGTGACCAGTTGCCCTACATCTGCCAGTTTGCCATCGTGTAGGCTGGCCCTGAGCGAAGGGGCGAAGGGGCGAGGCCTGAGCCAGGGAGGGGTGAGGACCATAAAGAGGCGGGGCTGTTGGTGGGTGGGGCTTATGGGTTGCTAAGGGGCGGGTCATCGGTGGGCGGAGTCGAACTTCAGTGAGCCGGGAGTGTGTGGTGGTGGTTCCAGGGGAGAAAAAAGCTGATGTGGGCCTTGAGAGGGGCGTGGAGACCTTTCTGTCTCGGGTTCCTCCTTGCCTGGTTTTTGCAAATAAAGTTGGTTCAGAATCCCTGAAGTTGGGTGGTCGCCAGGTCAGGGTGGGGAGAAGATTCCAGGAGTCTGGCTCCAAACCCAGGAAAGCCTTAGTCACATTTCCAGACTACTTTTTGCAGAGGCCACTTCCCTCTCTTAGAATACGATACACACTCCAATTCTGGCTGGTGTGTTTGGGGGTACTATGCTTTTTCTTGTTGGGATCCATCTGGGGATGCCCGGACATGCAGAGGCCTGCTGTGGGGTAAAGTATGAGTGGGTTGCCAAGACTTCCCAGGTAGATTCCTATTTGCCTCTATCCTCATCCCAGGGGGTCCGGGAGCCAAATATGACAGTGGCCTGGCTAGTGTGTTCCTTTTCCTTCCTCTCCTTACAGCCAGTCAGCCAACTGGGATTCCACATTGTTCCATGTCAGCACAGAGCATCTCTGAGCCCACCATATTGCAGGAACTTTAAATATACAGTCTGGTTTAGCTTTATCCACCCAGGACAATATGTGTTACTATGTCTTACAATAAGGAAGTGCCAACACGGAATCTCAGTGGCTCCTGCTAATGGAGATCTAGTGATTGCAAAGCCAGGGTTCAACCTTGGACTGATCCCCCAGGCCTGGACCTTCCTGCCACTATTACTTACTGGTCTCACATGACTAGAACTCTCCAAAGATGAAACATAAGTAGCCTGGTGCCTCCCTTTCCCCAAATGGCTATTGACTAGCTTCTAGTGTGATATGGCCTATGGACCCCTGTGGACCCAGCTCACACGTTCTTCTAACCGCCTTAGCACAGCCATTAATTCCCCAGAGGGACTTTCCCAGCACCTCTGCTTCTGGATAGTCCCACAGTTCCTTGCCATCAGTTCCAACCTGATGACAGAGCGATTTGATTGACGGGGATGGGAGGCAGCTTGTAGTGTGCTCCACTGCCAGGCTTCCTGTCACTGGCACAGCATTGTGTGGAATGAGAGCCATAGGTGTTAGTGTGGGAACACTCAAGAGTGAGGCGTGTGCTCAGGATAGTCAGCCAGCAGGGCAACTGACACTGAGAGCTCTGATTCCTAATAGTCCTGGTCAGATTTCCTTAATAGTATGCTGTTCCCGAGAAGCTGTGGGTCCTGGTAGAAAGGCAACCTGGGCAGGCAATAAACATTGCCTTCTTCCATCAGAAGATGGCAGTGTGGGAAGAGAATGATTTCCTGTTCCTCATCTGCCTGGAATGTTCTTGAGTTTAGAGCACCTACACACTGCAAACTGGGTCTACCTGTCCTCCTGGCCCTGGTTTTTTTTTTAAGAAAAAAATCTCATTGTGTTGTCCCGATGGACTTTGGCTTTGAGCTTCAGAGTTCGTTCACAAAATCCTCCTGCCTCAAAAGGCCAACTCTTCATCACATCCTGATCTTTCCATGCATAGTATGTTGCTCTAGGGTATGAAAAACTCTAGGATGGAAATCTGAGGGACACTTTGAAATAGGGGTCGAGTTCATGAAAGACTCACTAAGATTCATTTTGCTAATTTAGGTTTTTATTATTATTATTATTATTATTATTATTATTTTAGTTTTTCAAGATGGGTTTCTCTGTCCTGGAACTCACTCTGTAGACCATTGCTGTCCTGGAACTAACAGAGCTCTGCCTGTTAGCTCTGCCTCCTGGGTGCTATGATTAAAGGCGTGTGCCACCACTGCCCAGCTAATTTAGTACTTTTCAATCCTTTGCCTTCAGTATCCTTTGCAAAGAGCCTAAGTTTTGAACTGATCACTATGCAAGATACTTTCCAATGATTAAAAAACACTTTTAACCTGTACCTTAGAAGTCCAAGCATGATCTCTCAACACTTTTGTTATGAATTATTGTGCAGGGGGGAGAGACCCCCAAGGGTATCTCCATCGTGCAGGGAAACATGCTAGGCAGATGCACACCATATGGGCATGGTGGCGGTGGCCAATAATTCACAGCCCAGATGCTGCATCCATGCGGAGAGTTTATTAATAATAGAGAAATGAAGAGAAAGATAGGAAAGAGAGAGACAGAGAAAGAGAGAAAAGAGAGAGAGAGGGGGTTCACACCTCATGGGAAAAGAAGCGGAAGAGAGAAAGGAAGGAGAGGAGTTTTTCCTTAGAATGAGGCTTTTACATCAGGACACAGGGAGGCACCAAGGAGTGGGATTTCAAGGGGCGGATCAGAATATTAACAACTATAACAAAACTCCTTCCAGTCCACCAGCTTACCCATCTGAACAGTTTCATTTTACAAGTCTATTTTTATTTTATTTTTAAAATTGTGTCTGTACATGCAAATGAATGCCATGGAGATTAGAGGTACCAGATCTCTCTGGAGCAGAATTTACAGGTAATACTGAGCCATGTGATATGGGTGCTGGGATTTGAACTACAAGAGCAATATGTGCTTCTAACTACTGAGCCATCTCTCCAACTCCCCATTTTACAACTCTAAAAGTAGACAATAGAAATAATGTTGGCGCCAAGTTCCGCTCCATTCTAGCCATTAAAACAATAATACTCGTCTGAACCAGGAAGATGGTGTAACAAATAAAAGTGGTTTCTATACAAACCTGAGGATCTGAGTTTGATCCCTGTGTCCCATGTGGAAGGAGAGAGCCAGCTCCCCAGAGCTGTCCTCTGGCCTCCACACATATTATTTATGCCTGTAATCCCAGTCATTTGAGGCTGAGGCAGGAGGAATACTGAGCATTCAAGGTCAGCCTAGGCTGAGATGTAGACCCTATCTCAAAAAAACCAAAACGAACAAAAACTGCTGGGCATTGTGGCACACGCCTTCAATCCCAGCACTTTCGAAGCAGAGGCAGGCAGATCTCTCTGAGTTCCAGGACAGCCAGGGCTACATAGAAAGAAAAACAAATACAACAACAATAACAACAAGCCTCAAAAACCCTACCAAGGATCCCCTACCCCTTTATCTGATTGAGAATATCGTATTTGTTGGGGCTCGGTGATACAATGATTGCTTAGCATGCATAAGACTTGGGTTTAAGTTCCAACAAAACACCTACACACACAAAATAAGTAAATGAAAAATTTCAAAAGGGGGGTGACAGCACTTGGTGTTGGTATGTGTTTGTGTGTTTGTGATTAGGAGTGCATAACTGTGTAAAAATACAATTCCATTCACTGTTTTTAGGGTTATTTCTGAGGTTTGATGTCAGATTAGTCCTCACGGGCTTTTCATGAGGCCGTGGCTCACATAAGAACATGGTTTATCAATTAAGTTGGAAGTCCTGGCCCAACACTCAGAACACCTCCCTCCTCCAGTAAAAAGCACTGTTGTTTTATGTTCTGTGAACACACAGCTGAGATAATACAATCTTAAAATGAAATTGCCACAGGGGAGGTTAAGCTAAGGTCTCACAGCTAGCTGAAGATGAACTCTGAGAGTTTCTGTCCCCTGTAGCAAGCAGCTGGTGCGAAGTACTTTTGTAAGCAGCCCACTAGCCTAGACCTGGGTCCTTCTATAGGACTGCTGGGATTAAAGGCATGTGCCACCACTGCCTGGACAACTATACTTTTAAAAAATATCTCCAGGTCATACTTTCTAGGTAGAACAATTTGGGGGTATTAGTACTCTAGAATGTTCTCTCAGTGTTTCTAGCCAGTATTTATGAGGAACATTTCTATTGACAGTTGACAAAACTCAGATTCTAAGTAAAGAAAGTTCAAATCACATTCCAAACTTGGCTGACAGGATGGCAGGACAGGTGTGGGCATGTCTCCCTTGGATGTCAATGTGTTCAAAGTATTTTGCTTGGCATCAGGCTCAAAGTACAATCCTTTTGACAATTGTTTCTGTAAGGGTGGGAAGGTTTGTCATTTAAATAGGAAAGAGGTTGTGATTCTGCAGGCACCAAGACTTCTGGGTTTTCGATAAAACTGAATAGAAGTTGTCATTCTTTAGGCAGCCTGACTCCAACTGCTCTGTGTTAGGTCAGGGCTGTCTCTATGTGCGAGTTCATATTGCAGATGTCTACCCAGCAGATCTGTCCAGAATGTTCCTCACTTTTCCCACTGAGCACTCAAGATGCCTGTACCACTGGCTTTCTTGCATGAGCTTTAGAAAATGCAGAGATGAAAGCCCAAGAGGTCAGAGCTAAGAGCTAAAAACCTTACCCTTCATTGCTGCTGCTGTCCTCTTCAGCAAAGAGAGCTACTTCCTGTCTGTTTGTCTTTTTTATAGACTTTCTATTCTGCCTTCTCATTGGTTGTAAACCCAACCACATGACCTCCTTGTCACTGCCTGTCTATACAGACCTCCAGGTCTTCTATGGTTGGTATTGAGATTAAAGGCGTGTGTCTCCATGCTGGCTGTATCCTTGAACACACAGAGATCCGCCTAGCTCTGCCTCCCAAGAGCTGGGATTAAAGGCATGCACCACCACCGCCCAGCTTCTGCTATGGCTTGCTATTAGCTCTGACCCCAGGCAACTTTATTTATTAACATGCAAATAAAATCACATTTCAGTACAAATAAAATATCACCTTAGGGAAGAGCTTCCTACCTGAGCACTGTTGCTGAGTGGACACTTAGGTGTGGGCCATCATGTGTGTGAAGGCTGTCACCAGTGTCCCTGATTCTTCCCACCCAAACCATCAGCACTTGCTCCAGTTGGGACAACTATATTGTCTGAAAACATGGCCAATGTGACCTGTGATCCCAAATCACCCCTGATGAGAGCCACTGAGGTTGAAGAACTCCTGAAGCACTAGCCAAGACAATACATGATTAAGATTTCAATTCTGTCCCTTGATATTCGTTATCAGGAAAGCACATCCCCACATTAAAACTTAGGGTGTTCAATGAAAGCTCTTAAGAATCTCTCTTATCAAGTCAGACATGGTGGTACACACCTTTAATCTCAGAAACTGGGAGGCAAAGGCAGATCTCTGGGCTGGAGGTCAGTCTACAAGAGTTCCATGACAGCCAGAGCTACACAGAGAAAACCTGTCTTGTAAGACCTCTTATCCAGGAGCAGTAACCCTGTAATCCCATCAGTTGGAACAGACATAGGAGGACTGTAAGTTAACCCTGTGTGTTACCCTGGGTGACATAAAGACGCTTGTCTCAAAAAATAAAAAAATAAACAGTCCCAAGAATTCATCATTGCTCATGATGCAGGCTTTCTCCCTTCTTCTTCACAGCTGCTTCCCTTCAGAAATCTCCCTCACATCTGATCTCAGCTCAGCATCTGCCTCTGGCAGGTCCTGAACAGATTCAGTAATTAAGAACCTTGTACAGTGGGGTGGGGGACTGAAGAGATGGCTCAACAGTTAAGAGCACTGACTGTTCTTCCAGAGGCCCCGGTTTCAATTCCCAGCACTACATGGCAGCTCACAACTGTCTGTAACTCCAAGGTCTGACAGCATCACACAGATATACATTCAGGCAAGACACCAATGCAAATAATAAATAAATTATCATTATTAAAAAGAAAGAAAGAAAGAAAGAAACTTGTACCAGGACCAGTAAGATCTGCAGCTTAAGATGCCTGCTGCAGAGCCTGGGATTGAGTTCGATCCCTGGAACACACATAGTGGACAAAGAGAACTGACTCCCAAAGTTTGTCTTCTAACCTTCACATAGGTGCTGTGGCACACGCTCACTTAGGCTTACACCTTCACACAGATTAATAATAAATTAAAAAATTTAAATTGATAAAAAATAAAAACTTGTACCACTGACTCAAGAAACATAAGTCCTTTTAGATTTTGATAGCACCTAACGTCTGTGGCTGCCACCTCCAGGGCAGTGGCATGCCTTTGGGAAGTGATTGAGTACAGCAGGAACATCACTGTGGCCCTTCCTGCCAGTGACACAACAAAGGTCGCCCGGTCAGAGCAGTTATCTGAGCCCATCCTAGTCTCCTCCCCACTCCGCACATGGGAGGTGGAGAAAGTGGAGGCGGGAGCAGAAGTTCAAGACTGTTCTTGACTATTAAATTCCAGGCCAGCCTCAGCTACGTGAGACCCTGTCTCAGAAAAAAACAAATCAGCTAAGAACCCTCATAACATTTTACAACTGTCCCTCCAACCATAATCCCTATTCAGTTCATTGCTCTGGAATCAAGGTTGTCTCAATGTCACTGATAGCAGGACATACAGCTCAACGTGAATGGCTGGCTCTGCTGCCCAATTGTTTTCAGAGATCTCTAGCCAGGTGAAGCTGTGATCTTTACTGACAAAGAAGAAAAGAGTTTCAGGAGGAATTGGTATGAAGCAAAGCTGGGATTTATTAGGCCAAGCATGAGTTTGCTGAGTAAAAACATTGTAGGGTTTATAAAGAAAATGCACATACAGATTTCAGCACAGAAGTTGCTGAATAGCTGCCTAAGGAAAGAACAGCAACACACACCCAAGATAAGGGGCGGGAGTGGGCTTCTCCAGAGAGATGCAGTCTTGAGTTTTCGGATAGCAAGACTGTCAAAATGGAGCGGGTATTATTATTTATGAGTTAAAGTGGGGAAGAGGTGAGGAATTCTGGGAGTGGGATTTTCCCAGAGTAGGGTTTCCTCAACTTTTCTTTATTACGCCGTTTTCTGGATGTATCCTGGCATCGAATACATGATGGGAGCAGGTGGTTCTGCCAGACTAATGCTGTGTAGATCATTATGAAGCAAAGAACAGTGGTTGTGGTGGTTTGAATAAGAATGGCTCCCATAGGCTCATATTTTGAATGTTTAGTCATCAGGGAGAGGCACTACTTAGAAGGGTTAGGAGGTGTGGCCTTGTTGGGGTAGGTGTGACCCTGATGGAGGAAATGTGTCACCGGGAGTGCTTCGCGATTTCAAGACCCCGAGTCAGGTGCAGTAGCTCTCCTTTCCTGCTGCCTGTGGATCCAGATGTAGGACTTTCAGCTAGCTCTCCAGCACCATGTCTGCCTGCATGATGGCAGTGAACTAAACCTCTGAAACACAAACAAGCCCCAATTAAACGCTTTCTTTTATTAGAGTTGCCATGGTCATAGTGTCTCTTCACAGCAATAGACACTGACTAAGGCTCTGGTCTTCTGAGTTAGCTGCGTTGGTCCCAGCTGGTTTGGGATGGTCTTTCTGTAATGTGACTCTGACATTGCATTAGCCTGTTAAACTGGGGATATAGCTCAGCTGGTAGAGTGTTTGCCTGACATTTTTGAGGTTCTGGGTTCTGCCCCCAGCACTGCAAAAACAAAACAAACTATATGTCAGACTATATGTAGATTGCTTCTTGTTCCTTACCAGCCTTATTAACAACTCAAGGAAAGTAGCTAGTGGAATGGAATCAGCCTTACCTTTGGGTCATTCTTGGCAAGTGAATGAGCAACTGCCATTACCTGTGCTTGCAGTTCCCCTCCTACCCACCCTGTGTCTGTATGCTTCCTCACAGCATGGTATATGGCAACTTCGCTGTCACAAGCATGTAGCTTGGGGGGTTGCACACCATGGGTATTCAATAAGAGTGACTGTAAATAACTGGATTGAATCAGATGCCCAGAAGAAAAATGCCCCTTGCTTTAGTGCTACCAACAATAAAACTCTTCATGCAAGCCAAAGCAGATGTGATGCCATGTTCAGTTATTGCTCAGGCCTTGGCAAGTATCTGAAGGTAAAGTCCATTCAAGAAATCTATGCTGGCAGCAATTGTAGCAAAAGTGCAATTTTTCATCTTAAAAATCAATGTCCTTGGCTTGGAGGATGTAAATGAAACTTTTTTCTTTAAACACAAAAAACAAAGGCTATATTATCTCACAGGGACTTTGTTATCAATCCATATCTAGGCTATTTAAAGTAACCTAATTGAACACTAGAAGTGATTGGACATTAGAGGCATATGACAATTTTATCTTCATTATTGGGAAGTTCTGTTTGGCCATGTTTGTCAAAGAGGCTGTAATTACGAAGTATCACTGAGTTTACCTTTGGAGCAGATTCGAGGAGATGAGGAAGAATCCCCTCTACAGCGCACACTTCCCAGCTCTCCTCCTTCAGAAGGGCCTGAGAGACCGTCAGTAAAATGGACAGTTTGGTTGTGAAGTAAATATTTAACATGCCTTTTGATTTGAGATGTTTTCCCCCCTTTTTTTTTAAAGACAGGGTTACTCTTTGTAGTTTTGGTGCCTGTCCTGGATCTCACTCTATAGACCAGGCTGGCTTCGAACTCACAGAGATCCGCCTGCCTCTGCCTCCCAAGTCCTGGGACTAAAGGTGTGCACCACCACTGCCTGGCTGAGATGTTTCCTTTTTTTTAACTACATAAAATTAAGGGCAATGTTAGCTAATAGCAAAATTTGTATATTGTTTTCTTCTTTTCTTTCTTTCTTTTTAAACTTTATTTTAAATTATGTGTGTCTGTGTCTGTCTTTGTATGGGTATGTACATGTGGGTACAGATGCTTGTGGAGGCCAGGAGAGGGCGACAGATTCCCTGGAGCCCCTGGCAGTTGTGAGCCGCCTGACCAGGTGCTTCCAAAACAAGCTCTGGTCTTGGCCAGAGCAGCAAGTGCTCTTAACCATCGAGCATCTGTAGCTAGAGTTTTCCTGCCTTGCCCACAGTCAGGACAATCTTTGTCACCTGCCAGTCCCACAGCCACTCAGACCCAACCAAGTAAACACAGAGACTTATATTGCTTACAAACTGTATGGCCGTGGCAGGCTTCTTGCTAACTGTTCTTACAGCTTAAATTAATCCATTTCCATAAATCTATACCTTGCCACGTGGCTTGTGGCTTACCGGCATCTTCACATGCTGTTTGTCATCGCAGCGGCTGGCAGTGTCTCTGACTCAGCCTTCCACTTCCCAGCTTTATTCTCCTCCTTGTCCCGCCTATACTTCCTGCCCGGCCACTGGCCAATCAGTGTTTTATTTATTGACCAATCAGCAACACATTTGACATACAGACCATGCCACAGCAAGCATCTCTCTCCACCCTTTGTGTTTTAACTGGGGATTGAATGTAGAAGTTGGTGTGTGTAAGGCAAGTGCTTTACTTCCGAGCTATGAGCCATGCTTTTCTTTGAATTTGTGATCCTCCTGACTCAGTTTACATACAAGTAGCTGGGGTTACAGGCCTGTACCAATAGGCCTGGCTACTGTTGGTATGTTTGTTGTTGCTTGTTTGTTTGATTTTCTTTGTACGTTCTAGATTGGCCAATGTTCCATGTAGCTTAATTGGTCTTGAACTTATCATGATTCTTTTGCCTCAGCCTCTCAAGTGCTGGGCTTACAGGGATGAATCACCAGACGTGGCATTTGTTTTTTAATTTTTCTGTCATCTATATATTCTCAGAGTGAAATGTCTCTTCTTCTTCTTCTTCTTCTTCTTCTTCTTCTTCTTCTTCTTCTTCTTCTTCTTCTTCTCCTCCTCCTCCTCCTCCTCCTCCTCCTTCTTCTTGCCAACTTTTGACTTGGATTATAGCATTCATTTATTTATTTCAAGGAACAGGGACTTCCTGTGTAACCCAAGCTTGTCTGGTACTCTCTGTGTAGCCTCGGCTGGAACTCACAATCCTCTTGAGTCAGCCTCAAGAAGGAGGGCTTTTCTACTGAGCTGAGGCTAGCCCCCCTGTCTTTCTCTCTCACTGTATTTTCTCCATCTAGGGCTCACTATGATTCTTGGCTCTCAGTAATCCAGGCTTGTTCCCTAGGTAACTGGACGTCATGCAGGTTTATTTGATTATTATTCCTCAGAGAGATTTCCCCAACTTTTCTGTCATCCCAGCTTTTGCTTTACAGCACTTACATAATACAATGCATTACCCATCAATTTGTTTTTTGTTACTGCTTCTTCCAATTTTCAACTCTACCAGAAGCCTGAAGCAAGCTTACTGCTTTATCTCCAGGGCCTAGTTAGCATTCAGTAAATAATTCATTGCCTGACAGGATGAAGGGATGAATAACTGTAAACCTAAATGACAAATTTACTTCTTGACCAGGTGCTTATTATGACTTTGAGCGTCCCTCTTTGGGAAGCCAAGTTTGCTCAGAACAAAGGTCGTGAATCAAAACCTTAGGATGGGAAATAAGATGGCAGCCATGAAGAGGCCGATGAAACCAGTGCAGGTGGTTAAATCCTGGAAAGCTTCTCCCTAGAACAAGAGCTTCCTGTGATTTCTATGGGTTAGGGGAG